GGGGACCTTGTGCATGCTGTGCTCTATGCAGAAACAGGGAAACGTGCACCCAAGAGACACTGGTGAGAATGTGTGGACAGGCAGGTGAAAAGGTGGGGAAAACGATTTGCTCACACTCTCTGCTTGAGTTATTTCCCACGCCAACAGCTGCAAATAAATCCAACTGTGCCCACGGATGCCTCTGCAGGCCTGGAAAGAGCCCTGCAAAATATCGCCCCCCACCAAGAGTTCAGAGCCCCATGCACATCTCAGTAGAAAAGCTTTGGTTTGGTGAACCAAAAAACAGCAGAAATCCAATCCATGCTTTCTACAGCTATGCCTCCCTGAGGGTTAGGGCTAACTCATAAACTTTTTATTAGCCCCTGGGCCCATGGAGAAGGTGGAGAGACAACCAGCCTGTGGGGCAGCAACAGTAGAGCTTAACGGTGACTTCTCACGGTTTTTGCTCCCAGTTACTTGCCCCAAAACCATCAGTGCTGACTGCACGGCTCATCCGAGCTCTGCCCCTGGCAACCTTTTCCTCTCTTGCTCCCTAGCAATGCTGCCCCGTTACAGAGGTGTTTTTGCTTGCAGCTGCCTCAGGACGCAGCAAGATCTGCCCCGGGGAACCTGCAAAAGCAACCCTTGAAGTTGCCGATACAAAAGTAACCCCACGGAGGAGGCTTGGGCCTAGGAAGCAGGTACACACAGGCTCACAGATAAATCAGGCTCGTAATGAATTGTGTCATCCCCTGACAACATCTGAGGAAGGTTTTGAAAAAAAAAATATTGGCGAGGGTTCAGAGAAGAGCCACAGGAATGATTTGCAGTCTGGAAAACCTGCCTTCCAGCCTGAGACTTAAAGAGCTCGGATCTATTTAGCTCATCAAAGGGAAACTTAAGGAGTGGCTGGGCTGCAGTCTCCAAGCGACTCCAGCGGGAGAAGCTCTCCCACACGGCGGCCCTTTAATCATGCCAGCAAAGGCAGAACAAGACCTGGCGGCTGGAAGTCGAAGCCTGGCAAATCGGCCCCGCTCCTTGGCTCCGGGGCTGCTTTTGGTCCAGGTGCGCAGACCTCGTTCGAGGGGGTTTCTGCTCCTTATACTTCCACGTGCAATGGAAATTTGTGTCTGTGCAGCGGCGTGCTGGTAGACCCGCACACGTCTTGCTCCATCTCCTCCCGGCACCCCTGTGTGACCTGCAGGCCTCACACAGCGCTGCCCTTGGATGTCCCCAGTCAACCCAGACAGCGATGGCCACGGGGCTCTGCGGTCCTGGCCCCCTCCCTTATAGCTATTTGGGCATTGGGGAGGTCTCAGCCCCTAGAGCCAAAGGAGAGCCAGTTCCCAATGCCCTCCCCTATAGCTGGGAGAAGGTGCAGGTTTCCAGTCCCTCCCTTATAGCTGGGGTGAGGGTGTGTTGCCACCCCTATAGCCATTGGAGATATGCATTCCTGACTCCCTCCCTACAACTGGGGCACAGCCATGCTTCAGCTCCTATACGGAAGGGGGTTCCCAGTGCACTCTGCTGTAGCCACGGTCCAACTGTGTCCCAACCCCTATAAATGCAGGGGGCACCCCGCTATAGCTGGGGTCTAGCTGCGTCCCAGCCCCCTCCCCTATAGCTGGAGCCCAGTCCTGCCTCAGCTCCTATA